TATATATATATATATATATATATATATATATATATATATATATATATATATATATATAGTGGGTATAGAAAACAATCACCCCCCTTCAAAATAATTACATTTTGTTGTATTGTAGCCTGAAATGAAGACAGACACAGTTTTGTTTTATCTAGGTGTTATTATTCAGTACAATGTATAACATCTATGTAAAAGATATAACACCAACATGTCAGAAAACAATTAACAAGCATAAAAACAAAATCACTCAGTTGTGAAAAGGATCACCCCCCTCCTAAAAAATACTTGTAAACTCAATCAGATGTACCTAATCACCTTCGTAACGACACACAACACAATTTAACTTTCATTGGTGGTCAATTTGATCAGCTCAGCATGAAAATAGCTTTATTGTAGCATTTCAACCCTAAGTAGTGCAACTGAAGCAAACCATCAACTATGGGTGGCCAAGGCATTGTCAAAAGATCTCTGGGATAAAGTTGTGGCCAGGCACAAGTAAGGGGATGGATACAAAAAAATTTCAAATGCTTTATTAATGCCTAGAAGCACAGTGAAGTCCATTATTAAAAAGTGGAATGTATTTGGTACAACACAGACCCTTCCTGGATCAGGACATCGCTCCAAACTGGATGAAAGAGCCAGGAGAAAACTGGTCAGAGAGGCAACCAAGAGGCCTACAACAACTCTGAAGCAGTTGCAGGAATTTATGTCAAAGAGTGGTCATTGTGTGCATGTGACAACAATATCAAAAATTCTCCACAAATGTGGCTTGCATGGGAGGGTTGCACGAAAAAGCCTCTACTCAAGAAAAGCAACATAAAGTCAAGACGGAGCTTTGCCAAAACCCACCTAGAAGATTCCGAGGTCACATGGAAAAAAGTGTCATGGTCAGATGAGACAAAATTTGAATTGTTTGGCCTCAACACCAAACGATATGTCAGGCAAAATTCCAATACAGCTCACCATCCAAATAACACCATTTCTAATGTAAAACATGGAGGTGGAAATATCTTGTTATGGGGTTGTTTCTCTGCAGCAAGAACTGGAGCACTTGTCAGGATAGAAGGAAAAATGGATGGGGCAAAATACCGACAAATTCTTAAGGAAAATCTGCTGCCCTCTGCCAGAAAGTTATCATTGGGAAGACGGTTTACCTTCCAACATGACAACGACCCAAAGCACACAGCAAAACTGACCACACAGTGGTTAAAGGAGAAAAAGGTGAATGTCCTGGCATGGCCAAGTCAGAGTCCAGACTTAAACCCCATTGAATATCTGTGGAAGACTGCAGTCCACAAATGGACACCATCAAATTTAACTGAACTTGAACAGTTCTGCAAAGAGGAAATGCTAATTTTGCAAAGTCTAAATGTGCAAAGTTAGTAGAAACGTATCCCAACAGATTAAAGGCTGTAATTAAAGCAAAAGGTTATTCAACCAAACGCTGAAACAAGGGGGTGATTCTTTTTTCAACCCATTAATTTAGTTTTTTATATGTTCATTTTTTCAGATATGTTGGTGTTATATCTTTTGGTTTGGTGTTATAAGCTGCACTAAGTAAATACAGTTAGATAAAAAAATGTGTCTGTCTTCATTTCAGCCTACAATGCAACAAAATGTAATTATTTTGAAGGGGGGTGATTCTTTTCTATACCCACTGTATACACACACACACACACACACACACACACACACACACACACACACACACACACACACACACACACACATACACATACGTTTTATTGAGAAGGGTTGTTGGTGATTGTATGGGTGTTAATGTCCAGATTGGGTAGCTATGAACAAAGGAAAATTAAACGCTGTTAAAAAAAGATTAAAGACCAACAACACGACATTACAGGAGATTTAAGACTTTTAGCATTTAGCTTTCGAGAATTGAGACATTTATAAAACCTGTACAGGTGATTTCAGACCACATATTCACAGTACTGTGGTAAACAGTGTGTGTGTGTGTGTGTGTTAAAGATAGATAGATAGATAGATAGATAGATAGATAGATAGATAGATAGATAGATAGATAGATAGATAGATA